GATAGTTACCTCTTCCCTGTGTCCATAGCTCCATGCACTCCTGCTCCCTGAGCTGTCTCCCTGTGTATAAGCAGCCCTTCTTTCTCCCATGATTGTTCTCTCCAAGGAGTGTATCTACCTCAGGTAAATATTCAACTCCTATGCCTGTCTTTTGTTTGGCTGGAAGAAACAGGTGTGGGTTCAATTCCAGACCTGAAGGGCAGCTAGGGGCCATAGTCTCAGTGGTTCCACCAGGCTCTATCAGACCAGCAAATCTGGTTCCTTTTTGTTTGTTTGTTTGTTTGTTTTTCCCAAATGATTTTGAGTTTTGTTCCACATTGTTCTCCCTCTCTATCTAGGATTTCCTACATAGATCTCCCTCTGAGTGGTTGACAGTGGTAGCCAGGTAACATATAGTTCTTCTGGTCTCAAAGTTATATAGGCTGAGGATTGCATGGTGTGCCAGTCGCTAGGACTAATTCTTTCTATGAATCTTTGGTTTTCTTCATTCTTCTTTGCTCTGGACTAGGAGAGACCCATCATTGCATCTAGAGGGCTGCTTGCAAGCTTTTAAGATCCCAGTCACTACTTGCCAAAGTAGGAGGTGTAACAATGTTTTGTGTAGTATGTTATGCCAATTGAATTTGATGTCCCCTGTGACCATGGTAAAACAGGCCAGACTTTTAAACTCCTGCCAGCATCCTAAGGAACTCTGGTGGCACAGTGTCTAAGGCATTTGACTGCTAACCAGAAGGTTGGTAGTTCAATCTCACCACCTGCTCCACAGAAGGAAGATGGGGCAGTCTACTTCTGTAAAGATTTACAGCTTTGGAAACCCACTGAGGGTTGCTGTGAGTCAGAATCAACTCAATGGCAGTGAATTTGGTTTGAGTTTGGATAGTCATCCTGTCTGGATATCATTGAAACTTGGGCGACACCAGGAAGGGTGTGCCTTGGATGGGATGAGAACTGTCTCTTGACAGCACTCCCTGCAGCTAGGGCAGCAAGTCCTTCCATGAAAGGGGATTTGAGTGGCACACTGCAATGTTCCTCACGAGGCAGTGAGGAGTAGTAGTCCTTGAGATTTGGAAGCTGTAGCTGGAGGAAAGGGAGCTGGGAGGACAGGATAAGGAAGAGTTTTGCCTTCATCCATGCTTCGCAGAACTGGGTTTTCTGGGCCTGGTCTCCATGAGGCCTCATTCAAGTCAAGTAACAGCGACAGAGTGTCAGTGCGTCTATCTCCTCCATGTCCGGTCTTGTGCTTATAGGGGAATAGGGTCGCAGATGTCACCCGGGTGTGAGTCATGGCTTCACGGAGCTCCGCTCCCTCCTCACCGGCCCCCTTTGCACTCCTGCCCCCCTACAATCCACTGTCAGCATTGCTGCAAGCCCGATCTTTCCAAAACGCAAATCAGAAATGCCACTCCTGAGCTTCAAACACTTCAGGGGCGACCTTTCGTACTTGAAATCCCAACTTCTCTTCTCACTGGACGCTTGAGGGGCGTGTCACCTGGGTGCTCCCAGGGCAGGAGAGAGGCGCCAACGCCAGCCCGCGGGTGCACTGCCCCTCTAGTCCCGCGGGCTAGGGACGCCCTCCCTCCCAGGAGGCGTGCCACACGGGTCAGCACAGGTGCAGTGGCCGCTGTGGGGAGCCCCCTGCCCGCCTTGCTTCCTGGGGGCGGGCCTTCCGAGGCTCCACCCCTCGGGCCACCCATAAATGCGTCCGCCGCCCAGCACCCAGGCCCTGGAGCTTTGGATTCAGGTGTACTTGTGCTACCCGCTCGCAGGTCGGCGGCGCTCGGAGCTCAGCCATGCTCTTCTGGCATACTCAACCCGAGCACTACAACCAGCACAACTCTGGCAGCTATCTGCGGTAAGGGCCCAAGCCTCCCAGGCCCGATGGGGCGCAGCTCCCCGGCCGGAGCAGGGTAGGCGGGGTCATACGCTGTCAAGCTCCCCTCCGTGGTTCCCAGGAGGGGCAGAGAGCTGGCAGGTGCGGCTCTCGAGTGTCTTTGCTGGCCTCCTGCTTCCTTGGCGACAGTGAGGTCCTTAGAGTCCGCTGTCCTCTCGAGGTATCTACCTTTGGGGGAGTGAAGGAGAGCCCGATACAGAGTCCCACCGCGTCCCAGACGCACCACCGCGAGACTCGAGCCGGTAGTTCGGGACGTGCCTGGGAAGCGAGTGCGCAGAGCCTAGTACCAGACGCAGGGCGCTCCTCTCGCTACCCTGGGAGGGCGCGGGGCGCGTACCTGCTAGTCACAGCCGTCCCGATAACCCTCTTTCCCATCTATCCTATACCCACTCGTGCCGAAGAAGAGGAACTTCTGTTTTCAGTCAGGTGCCTGTCTAGAGAATCCAGCTCCCGATGTGGTCCCACTCCCCCACTCCCTCCGACTCTGCGCCCTACTGGAGCCCTGGTTGGACCCAGGGGCGGTGGATGCGGGGCGCAGCCCTGCCCGCCAGACCTAGCAGCCAACCCCGAGGGCAGGCGCCCCTTCCCCCAGGTGGTCTCCGCGAGTATCGCCGGAGGGCCGCCCTTTATTGCCCTTGAGGGAAATCTTCTGCAGGGATTTGACTAGTGCTCTTTAGAGAGAAAAGTAAATCCTGCCTGTTGTGCAAAGTTTTTCCGACCCCTAGAATCTAACCTTTGAGGAAGTGGGGCCCCCGTTTGAGTCAGTTCCTGGAGGTTGTTTTTCCATGTTCTGCAGCTAGCTGGGTACTAATGGGCAGTCATTTCACTTTCTGAACTCGCCTGAACCAGCTTTAGCCTGTCTTTATTTCCATCCTAGTCACAGTTTATTAAATGTGACTAGTTTAATCCAAAGAGCATTTGATATGGGCTCCGGGAAAAGGCATGGTGAGGCTGAAGGAGTCGCAGGACACTGGGAACATCCAAGGCAAGAGTCACCCATAGTGATTTTTTTTTTTTTTTTGGTTCCAAGAAGTTCCCACTCATTTAACACAAGATACTTGTAAATGCTGGCTTCTGATTAAGTTTTGGTTCAATAGCCCTTCCTGAAAACAGTCCCCTTTCAGAAAGCAAAGGAATGAGTGGATTTCATTGTTATTTTTTATTCACCAATCCAAGGTGCAGGAGATGGTAGAAGTCTAGAGAGGTGGTGTGGGATGTTGGAAGATTAAATGTCCATTTACTTACACAACATGGAATATGTTTTTATTCAACTGTGTACTGTAGTTTTTGTTTTGCCTCAGTCTTTCTTTGTGGCCATTATGTTACCATACCTCAGAGATGAATTTGAAGGTGACCCTGGGCTGAAGGTGAATGTATTTAAAATGCCATCCCACTAGGGAATAATCCTCCCCTTGCATGGGAGGAACAATTTCACCATCTGCTACTGAGCTGATAATTTATCTGTGGAATGCCTCAGATGCCTTTTAGGATTTTGGAATTATATTAAGGGAAAGAGTGGGAGTTGGAGTGAAAGGTGCTATTAAAGCCATATTGGTTCCTGAGGTCATTTTGGGACCATGGAAAAATAAGTAGTTTTTATTTAATTTCCTGGAAGCTAGAAGCTGGGAGTTTTGCCTTAATAGAGGTTGACTTCAGTGAAGGCCAAGACATGGGAGGGGGTGCAGTAAATATTCCCCTGGTCCCCCTCCCAGGACTTAGAAAGTGAGGAACTGGTCCTTTTCTTTGAATTTTTGTGTCTTATTTTTAGTTGTCTCCTCTCTCTGAAACTTTGTGCATGTTGTAGGACCTTGCCAGGGTACTGGCCTTTACTCTTTTCTTCCCTTTTTCAGTTTGATATTCTCGTAACTTTTATTCCTTGGCAAATAAGGATGCCAGCCCTGAAACAAGTTACTGTTGAGTGATGGTTCTAAGCTACCTGCCCCCCCCCCTTTTTAATTTAAAGGTAGCAGCCCATGTCTAATTAACTTAACATGGTCTGGGCAAACATGACATTATGCAGTCCTCAGAAGGCAGGCAGGCTTGCCTACTTCTCCCATATTCCTAGATAACCACACGGGCTTGGAGTATGACTCTCTTTGGTGGAAAGAGACACATTGGTGGGGAAGCCCAGACAGCATCACACTGGGAAGGCTTTGGCCAGCAGAAAGTGGCAGGAAAGGCCCTCACATGGGAGAACGTCCCCCCTAAAATGTGCCCGAAGCCAGGCTTTTCCTTCTGAGAATTAGTTAGACATTGTTGGGGTGTGTGCTGGGCTTGTGTTTTAGAGACGCTCATTTATTGTGTCCTATGAGGAACAGATTGTACCAGTGACTGCTGTTTATACAGTGAAGTGGGGTCAGCTAATCTGATCCATAATCCAGGATACACCAAGGGAGGAGGTTGATCAAGATAAGGGCACTGGTATTTATTTGGCACCTGTTTCCGTACTGCTCTTAGTTTAGAGGTCTGAGGTCTCTCCTGCTCACAGGATATTCACTTTTTCTGGAGCATTTAAAAAATATGCTCTGGAAACAAGTTCCTCTAGTCCTAAACTGATGAAAGGCTGATTTTGTTGGATATGATGGGGTTTTTGTTGAGGAGAGGAAAAGAATCTTTGGGCTTCTCAAGATTTTCCATTTGGATAAGAAAATTAAATTGAAACCTTCCTTCTTGTTTTGCATTTAAAAGGAGAGATTAGTGTGACCCTTAAAACAAGGGTTATCGGCAGTTGTACTGTTTCAGAAGGGTTAGGGGGATGTTTCAACCTGGAAGAGTGAAAACAGTTTCTGCTTTTGCATAGTTTACAGAGTCCCTAGGACACACATGGTTGTATTGGTCTGAAAAGTATCTGATAAGTACACTATTTTATTGAAAAATAAAAATTGTTCTTTAAATCTGCAAGACCAGATTTTGCTTGCAAAAGCAAAGGTCACGAATAGAAACCAAGTGACATCTAAAGGTAGTTCCACTGCTGCTAGTCTCTTTGTTCCAGAGAGATTTCTGTAATTTGTACATACTAGATTAAAAAAAAAAAACTCATTGCCGTCGAGTCGGATCTGGCTCATAGCGACCCCTCCTTGGGTTTCCGAGGCAGTATTACTACAGAAATAGATTGCCTAATCTTCCTTCTGAGGAGTGGCTGGTGGGTTTGAACCGCCAGCCTTCTGGTTAGCAGTCTAAATGTCTTAGGCACTAGGTCACCAGAGCGCCCACATATTAGATAGCTTTATGTTTTTATCTCCTTGATGACCGTATTGAATAAAACTCTTGCGTGCAGTTCAGTGAAAATAGAACTATAAAGGGTTAGTTTACAATGTTTTAAAACCCCTTAGACTATTTGTGACATGATGTATCAGGGACTAAACCGACACACTGAGGCACTTGGCTGTTGATACCACTTTGTGAAGTGGCTCCTTCCAGCTCTTCTCCTAACTACTCCCTCTTGTATGTTTTAGTGATGTCCTCGCTCTGCCCATATTCAAGCAGGAGGAACCCCAGCTGTCCCCTGAGAATGATGCTCGCCTGCCACCCCTGCAGTATGTCTTATGTGCTTCCACATCCCCAGCTGTGAAGTTGCATGAAGAGACGTTGACTTACCTCAACCAAGGTAGCAGCGGGAGCTCTGTGCCATGTCTGGAAACTTGGGGCTGGGGCCCTTCTACCCAGAAGGAATGAGGAATTGGCCTGAAAGACCCATTTAGACTTCATTACATTTTCACAATGGGCGTGGTGGAGTTTGGGAAGGAATTCCTGGGTGGTGCAAATAGTTCACGTGCTCGAGTGCTAACCTGAAGTTTGGCCTTTCAAATATATCCAGACGTGCCTTGGAAGAAAGGCCTGGCAGTCTACTCCTGAAAAATCAGCCATTGGAAACCCTATGGAGCACAGTTCTATTCTGACATACATAGGGTCGCCATGAGTCAGAATCTACTCAATGGCAACTGGTTTTATAGGTTTTGGTGTCAGAAGGATTTAGGTTCATATTCCATTTCCTAAGTGTGTGACTTCTCTGAGCCTCAGTGTCTTCATCTGAAAAACTGAGATATCAACCATGTTGTTATATAGGTCAAATGTAAGCAATATATATGGTAAAACCTGTGAAAGCCAGAATCTGTGTAAGACAAAAATCTGTCTGAGATGGAAAACTCAAATATTTTCCATGAGCAGACAGTGATAAAAAAGTTGTAAGACTGCACCCTGTCAAATGTGGAAACTTGTGAGACCCAGAAAAAACAAGGCAGTCCTGTTGAGTTCTGGCTCTCAGGATTTTGCTGTATAGCTCTCATTATATAGATCTGCCAGTAGTAGATGCTCAATAATTGGTAGATGTTATTACAATTACTATTTACTGTGACTGTGGTGTCCTTCTTAGATTGAGCATCTTTGGAATACCAGGCCTACTATTCTTTCTAGAACTGCATCTGGCTAGTGACATGGACAGTGGCCCATGTCCTAAAGTACCACAGGAGTTGTATTCCACATGAGGCAGACAATACTCTGTGCTCACCAGGTCCTGAAAGAAATAGCCTGGACTTTGGAGATTGAATTCCAACTCCAGCACTTGCAACTTTGAGCTGCTTTTCTTCTTTCTCTGAGCCTCAGTGCTTCCTGAACACAGTATGTAAAATGAGAATTATAATTTCAGGAAGTTCAAAAGAATGAATGTATGTGAAGTGGTTGTTCAGTTGCTAATTCCTTTTACCAAAACACTTGAATCAGTGTCCTGATGGTTGGTATTTTTGTGGTTTTTACAATAACAATATGAATGTGTTTATTGCACTTTCTTCCTGGGTTACGTCATCAACATTTGATATAGAGTGGATTCATTGCCCTTGTATATTAATTGAGAACAAGGGGCAGAGAAACAAAGCAGTTTCTGTAGGGTTGCATTAAATTGCCCAAGAATAGAGAGGGATAGCAGTTCGTCTTACATATGGGGCCTCCTCTCTGCAGAACTTTTCATTAATTTAGGAGCCAGCTTGGGGTGAAAGCCCATCCTGATCATTAGGCTCTCCTCTGGCTTCTGGGCCAGGAAGCTTAGACACTAGCAGGTGGCTCTGTGTCTGCCTCTGGATAGGGACAGCCCTCTCCCCTTGTCCTGAATCAGGTAGAAAATGATAGTTTATCCCTTTGGCTAGCTCTGTTGGTCTCATGGCTGGACAGTGCCTGGCTCAGCAAAATATCTCTGTATGTATGCTTGTTTATGAAAGGGCTTCTGCCATTTTCCTTTCTGTTTTATAGAAGATCAAATGTGCACCTTTGAGCAGTCTCTTTCCACTGCTTTCTCACCTGAAACATGGAAATTAGATCATTTTTAGAGTTGGTTGAGCGCTGATGTGGCTCTTGCCCTTGGCCACATCTCATGGTGCTAAGAGTTAGTGGTCTAAGGCCTTGCATCTGGGCACTGGCCCACTCTCTACCCTTCTGCCCCTCAACCCCCCCAATCAATAGTAAGGCCTTTGGCTGTATTGTCTACTCCCTCCCTTCCTCCCCTCTTTTTTCAGTCAATCTACTTTGGGCAATGGCAGTCAGAAGTCAGATACTAGGTATTTAAAACAGAGTTTATCTTCCGTCTCAATATAAAGACATTAAAAGAGAGGGGAAAACAAATTACCCCAGATCTTATTATCCTGCGATAATTGGATGTATTTATTTTAAATATTTAAAAAATTTCAATTTCCTGATTATTAATATAATAATACATGTTCATTATAGAAAATTTGGATGATTTAGAAAAGTATAAGGAAAAAAATGATAAGAATATAAAAATTAAAATCCCCTCTTGTTTCCTCAAGAACCATTGATACCTTGCTTTCTGCATATTTGTGTGTCTATCTTTTAAAATTGTGGTCATGCTACAGACATCCTGCTTTTTTCATTTACTATTTTCTCCATGTCATTAAAAATGCTTTGAGAACTTGAAAGTTTTGTAATAACTGACTAGTATTACATTATAGTTCTTTATTTCTTTGACCAGTTTTATATTATGAACATGTAGTTTCCAGTTGTTAGAAGTTAAACACTGCTATGGTGAATATTCTTAAACATAAATCTTTGTGTGAAATGTTAATTTTTTAAAGGATAAATACCTAAAAAGAGGATTACTGGCTCAGTAGCGTGTACCATTTTATACTCAGCCAGTGTATGTTTTACTGTCTTTTTGCCAATACTGGCTCTTGTTATTTTTCATATTATAAGAAACATTGAATTTAAGCAAATCTATGATCACTAACCATAGTGATACTGCCTTGGAAAGCCAAGGAGGGGTTGCTATGAGTTGGGTCCGACTCGTCGGCACATAACAACAACAACAACATGATCGCTAATTTTGCATATTCTAAAATACATTTATTAACCATTTTTATTTCTCTATTGTGCCCATGTTATGTTTTTCTACTGTGGTATTTATCTATTATGTTGTTGTTATGTGCCGTGGAGTCAGTTTCGACTCATAGCAACCCCTCCTTGGGTTTCTGAGGCAGTGTCACTACAGAAGTAGATTGCCCAACCTTCCTTCCGAGGAGTGGCTGGTGGGTTTGAACCACCAGCCTTCTGGTTAGCAGTCAGGTGCCTTAGGCACTACGCTACCAGAGCTTCTTTATCTATTATGTTGTTGTTGTTATGTGCCGTCAAGTCGGCCCCAACTCATAGCAACCCCTCCTTGGGTTTCTGAGGCAGTGTCACTACAGAAGTAGATTGCCCAACCTTCCTTCCGAGGAGTGGCTGGTGGGTTTGAACCTTCAGGCTTCTGGTTAGCAGTCAAGTGCCTTAGGCACTATGCTACCAGAGAATATATCTATTATAGTATACCTTATAGTAAGACCATCAAACCTTCAGCTGTCATATATTGCAAATATTTTTTTTTTGTTGGATGCTGGTGTGATAACTATATTTAATGTGTAGAATATATGTCATTTTTTTTCAATCTTTTAAAATGTTTTTTTCTTCCATGGCGCAAAATGCCAAATCATCTTAGTAGTTTCCTAAATTTTCTTTAATGGTTTCTAAATGTTAACATTCAATGCATTTGGATTTTACAGTGTGATATAAAGATCTAAATTTGTTTATTTTTCTAAATTGTTAACCTCTTGCCTAGTACCTGTTATTGCTTAGATATGTGCTTTTTTTTTCTCATTGGTTTAAAATATCACTTTAAAAACATTTAAAAAAACATATTCTAAACTTCTTGGTCAGAAACAGACCCTTTATGGATCTCTGGAGCTCTGGTAGCATAGTGCTTAAGGCACTTGACTGCTAACCAGGAGGCTGGCGGTTCAAACCCACCAGCCACTCCTCGGAAGGAAGGTTGGGC